GTCTCTACATCAGCTCCTCGCCATCACGGCGGCTCAGTCCTGCGTCTGCAGCGTCCCGGCCAGGCGGTCCCAGTGGGTGAAGTACGGCGCAAAGTTGCACTTGGACTTGAGGTGGTGAAGGTCGTGGTGGCGCGCCCCGCCGTACAGCCCCAGCGGCACCAGGCGGTGCGTGGCCCACGGCAGGTCGTAGCCGCAGTGATCCTCCACCGACAGCCAGATGTTGACCACGAAGAAGGCGAGCTCGGTGAGCGGGTGGCAGCCCAGCAGGAGGGGGTTGGCGGCAGCGAACAGGCCCAGGCTGAGGGTCTCCCAGGTGCCCGAGTACTCGGCGGTGAGGGCGGAGGTGGAGGTGTAGGTGTGGTGCACCTGCAGGAGGAGGAGAGAGAGCGTGAGGTGGAGGAAGAACAAAGGCGTGACATCGTCACCACCGCCATCGTCCTCGGGGACTCACCTTGTGGAAGGTGCGGTAGAGCCAGGGCACTCGGTGGTGCAGCAGGTGCCAGGCGAAGCTCTGGAAGTCAAAGAGCAGCAGGCACACGAGCACCTGAGCCAGCAGGCGCGGAAGGGGCGGGGCCTCCTCGGTCAGGTGCACCGGCCTCAGGTACCAGTGCAGCACGGTGAGCGGGAAGATGAAGACCAGGTGGTTGTAGAGCGTCAGAGCCAGGCAGCGCCGCACCGACGACCAGCTGACGGAGCTCTGAGGCTGCAGCTTGTACCTGAGCACCCACGCCCACCTGGTGGACAGCGCGTCCAGCAGCAGGAAGGGCAGGCAGAAGGACAGGTAGACGCAGAGCGAGAAGAGCACGGGGAAGAAGGGCGAGCACAGGAGGGGGGCGTGTCCCAGCACGAAGGTCCACAGAGGCTGCAGCAGCATCGCCATCCTTCAGTTTGTCTCACAGTCGGAGCTCTGCTCGCCTTCATCACCACTGCTCCATTTAATCAGGCAGCAGGCCCCGCCCACACAGCGTCAGCGGCAAGAACCCGCCCTGCCGTCCTTATTGGGATGTTTCCTACTGCCGGAGGGAAAATGGAAAACTCTCCCTCCCACACACAAACGGCTGCTTGTCTTTGAACGTGTTATTGTCGGCGAGACTTCACACAAGTTTGTCAAAGCCACGCCCCCCGGTGAGTTCCTCCTCAAAGGTGATTAAAATCATCAAAGAGGTTTAAAAACATGTTTTTCTGCTTATCTTGCGTGTTCAGCTCTTTTAGATTAAAGATGAGCTGAAGAACAAAATCTGAATTCCAAAACATCTCGAGGATTCCTGTTGAAATGTTACCGTGGTGACTGTGACCCCCTCGCACTAATGACACGTGAGTGCTCGAAGAAGGGGTCAGGTGTAGAGAGTGCATGAGGTGAGGTGCTGTTCTAAATAAAGTTTCATCTTCCTCTCTGAAAGAATCAACGTGAAGCGTCACTGAAGTCCAGCCGCCTGTACCTGTGCTGGGCGGAGCCTCAGAGGTGCCAGGTGTCCTCAGACTGAGCTGATGTTTCTCTTCGTGTCAGAAGCGGTGATGGTGGGAAGTGCTGGTCTGAGCATGCTCACTGACTCGCTGTTAGAGATGTGCTGAAGAGTCACAGCTTCACACTCAGCCCTACGGTGACACCTGCTGGTGCTTCAGCCTCACTGCAGCGTGAGAGTTTCAGGTGTGGACGTGGAGCTCTGAACCACAGCTGCTGTTCAGCTGGGTCTGTTCCAGATGTTCCAGCTGTGCTTCACGTTCCTCTGCTGCAGTAAATGAGTGAATCTGTGATGGAGTCTGTGGTATCGCAAGAAATTAGTAGGTTATATAAATATATGAGTATACATAATAGTTATTATTCATAGATACCTACATCCTAAGTTCCTGTTATTCTTCTGAAAGAAACAGAATGAGTGTGTTGTTACAATGGTAATGCCAGGAGAGGCAGTATTAGTTCTGTGTTACATTAATGTGTAAGGAAGTGGAAGAAGAGTGTGTCCTGCAGGAGGCAGTAGAAAATGGATGCTCATGTTCTGTACATGCCCTGAAAGAGAGTTCAGTAAACCAGTGCAACGATGCTCCGGTGTAAGGCTCAGTTATTGTATTTTTATTTTTTGAAGATGCAACAGAATCATTCATTAACTTTTTTTAAACAGCTCGAACTGTTTCATTAAATGGTGTGCAGACGCCACAGACAGGTAAGGTGCACCTGAGCAGCGAGCAGCAGGTAAATACGAGGAAAGCTGCAGACACAGTTGCGTGTGCAGAGAAAAGCACGAAGCCTTTCTGAAAGACTCATTACGACCTCGTTAGACAGGAATAATGTTTACTGGCATATTCATAAAGTGCTCCTCTTCATCAAGTTTACGCTGCAAAACACAGATGGTTACACTGAGCAAAGAAGTTCTTACTTTAAACAACTAAAAAACAAACAAAAACATTTCTAACTCTAAGCACAGTCAGTGGCTAACTGACTGATCCCGGATCAGTCAGTTACAGATTACCAGCTGATCAGTGAGCTCGAGGCTCTCAGCTGGCTCACAGAAACGAAACTTGGCGTCTCCTCGTGCTGCCTTCAAGGACCCCTCTGAAGTCACGTTTCACATCACGTCCACGTGCCTCTTTTTAAAAAAATGAACTTTATGTGTCAACCACAGTAGTTTTTAACCACGTGATCCTTCCTTATATGATGACATTTGCTCCTCCGTATGAACTGAGATTTAACTAGTGTTGCAGACATGCGCAGAGACACAGATTAGTGTGGACGCAGCAGAAGTGTCCCAAACACAGTTCTGTCCCTTGCAGCCACCTGTTTGTGTTCATGGACCTGCAGGCAGAGGTCTGTGATTACAGAGCACGTGACTCCTTTCCAGATGTTCCACCTGTGCTTCACGTAACTTTATGTAAACCTGTCCATGTGAACAAGGCTGTGCAGCTTACCTGTGAGCCACCTTCACACGTCATCACATCATTTAGGACGCTTGGCGCTGCAGTTCACCTGAAATAAGCTACGTTAGAGTGGCTGAGCATGGAGTCAGAGGGGACACGCTGGGTGTGTGACCCGTGGAAATGACTGTGTAACACGAACAAGTGTGAGTCTGCGTCACCCGGCTGAGCTCTCTGCTGTACATGCATTCAGAGAGGACCGTGAAGGCCTCACGTTAAGTTTCCGTTCTGTGACGGAGCGCACGGACCGGTCACTCGGTGCTCACGCTCTCCCTCATCCTCATCATCACTTTGCTCCCTCTGAGGAGGAAGAGGGCAACATGAGGTCAGTGTTTGAGACTTCCGATCAGTCTGATAATCGATCACTTATTGGAAAGTGAAGTCAGCTCAGGGCCTCCCTTTAACCTTTAACCCAGTCGATCTGGATCCAGGGTGTAATCAGATTACTGTGAAATCTGCAGAGAGCAGAGTAAAGCCCACGCAGGGGATTCTGTTCACCTGGGCGAAACGTTTCGTCATCCAGGTGACTTCTTCAGTCTTGTTTCCTCACCTGGATGACCGAGAATGCGTGAACCGCGGCGATGCGAAGTCACCGTCCAGCCCGCCGCACCTACGACGTTGCTTTTGTTCGCTTTTCTCCGTCTCTGTTTCAAATAGGCCGCAAGTCGGTTGTGAACATGTCTGTGATCGTTGTCTCTGTCAGTCGGTGTCATGGAAGTCACCAACTGTTTCTCAGTAAATGTGTAGCGACAACATTCACAGTACTCAAACCTGAAGTATTACTCTAGTAAAATGCGTCAAAGCTGCCAGGAGCAGAACAGTGACCTGAGGCCACAGAGAGGAGAGGAAGAGGCTGCAGGCAGGGTGGAGGCGAGACCTGCTGTGATGGGTGGAGACGGTGAAGATGTTCAGATATAATGGGCACGAGGCCGTCAAAGGGACAGCTCAGAGTCAGAGGTGGCGTAGTGAAGGAGGACATGCAGAGGAGGATGATGGGATAGAAGATGGAGGAAGATGATGTGCTCCAGAGACCGCGAAAGAAGAAGGTAGTAACACCGATAGTATGGTCACATTAACAGTTTTTAACAGTGAAGCTGTACTTCCAGAGGGTGGTGGTGACGTCCTCCTCCACGCGCTCATCTTTGGACAGTAATGCGATCAAAGCCGCTGTGCTCATCATACAGGTGACGCAGCGGCCTGCAGACTCACCTGGGTGTTTGTCTGAAGGTGCTACTCAGACACAAGTAACAGATTTAAACACATACATGTAACTCAGTGTGTCTGATGTGTAATGTACACCTAGCTTCAGTGTCATATCACATGTGCGGCTTTCATTTTGAAGTATTATTTTACAACGTCATCCTGGGCCCCTCCCAGCTGTAGTGGGAGGGGCCGTGAGCTCAGGAGGAAACCTGTGTGAGCTGCTGGCAGCTCCTTACCCATCCTCCTGCTGACAGAGAGGAGACTTTCCTTGTTGGGTCTGAGAGGGGACGGTCGTCCAGAAATTCTCATTTAAACCATGATAATAAATATTTTAGTTCTTTGTTAGAGTTGAGTTAAGCTTCCTGCTCAAACATGCACAGGAAATGATGATGATGTCACTCCGAAATGACAACACAGGCACGGCTTCTTCAAGACGGGCGCTTCGCTGCATTTATTGAAAACTACAAACATAAAACACGAAGGCTTTATGGTAAATGGCCTGTATTTATATAGCACTTTACTAGTCCCTAAGGACCCCAAAGCGCTTTACACAACCAGTCATCCACCCATTCACACACTGGTGATGGAGCTACATTGTAGCCACAGCCACCCTGGGGCGCACTGACAGAGGCGAGGCTGCCGGACACTGGCGCCACCGGGCCCTCTGACCACCACCAGTAGGCAACGGGTGAAGTGTCTTGCCCAAGGACACAACGACCGAGACTGTCCAAGCTGGGGCTCGAACCGGCAACCTTCCGATTACAAGGCGAACTCCCAACTCTTGAGCCACGATCGCCCCGCTTTAAGTGCTTCAGTCTATCAAAAGTAACACTTGTGCTTTAACAACCAGGCCCCGCAGATAGCTCGCTGAACTCCTTAGCGTGATTATTAAATGTGGGCTCACAGCCTCTGTCATCACGCCCAAACCTCGCGATAATAGCGGTGTAACAAAACTTGTTCTTTGTGACAAGATAAACACACCTTTACAATATTGACCACAGAAATGTACAAGCAAGAACATTTTAACTGCTGGAACCATCTATTAAACTTCTTTATACATAAGCCATCTCTGTGACACTTACAGATGATGTCCTGAAGTCGTTAAGGACATACATGCTGCTGTCCAGACAAAGGTGTGAGATATTGGACATGGATGCAAGCGAGAGGATACAACGTGGAAAACGGGATAAACAGCCGGGAGAGAGAGAGCACCGAGGGACAGGTTTCGTTAAAAACAGACAGGCACAAGACAATATCAGAAGGACACATCATACACCAAATACATAAAGACAAGATGCCGGCTGCGTTGATGAGTTTAGACGCAGAAAAAGCCTTCGATCGAGTCAGCTGGGACTTCCTGTACCTAACCATGGCAAAGCTCGGGTTCACTACAAAATCAATCCAATGTATCAAATCTCTCTATGACAAACCGACTGCAAGAATAAAAGTTAACAGTTCATTGACAAAGACGTTCCAACTAGAGAGGAACTAGACAGGGTTGCTGTTTAAGTCCAACCTTATTCGCCTTGTATATTCAGCCATTGGCACAAATGATTAGACAAGACGCCCTAATAACAGGAATAGAAATCAATAGACAAGAGCATGTAATTAGTCTGTTTGCTGATGACGTGTTCATAGCCCTCAAAACCCCACAAACTCTTTTATGCAGCTCACAGAAATGTTAAGAATATTTGGTACGCTTTCTGGCTACAAAGTAAATATACTTAAAACTCAAGTTCTAATGTTTAATTGAACACCAACTCAAAATCTTAAGGAATGGGAAATAAAGTGGGAGGCAAAAACCCTTAAATATTTAGGTATAAATATAACCAAAGACTATGCCAAACTATATCAAAGTAACTATGGACATATAAATAACAGGATAAGGCAGGATATGGAAAGATGGAATACGTATCCGTCAGGATTTAGTGACAGGATAAATGTGATAAAGATGAATATCTTACCACGATTGCTATATTTATTCCTCTCTCTTCCGGTAAGCATACCTCACACCCAATTCTCAGAATGGGATAAGTATATATCTAGATTTGTCTGGGAAGGCAAGCGGCCAAGGGTACGATACACCACTTTACAGCTTACTAAGGAGAAAGGAGGAATGTCGCTTCCTAATTTAAAAGAATATTTTCGTGCTGCACAGATACGCCAGATAACATATTGGTGTAGTGATGATTACGGGGCTCGCTGGAAGGATGTGGAGCTCTCCACACTCAATGTCCCAATCCAAACAAACATGGGTATAAAAAAGATCCCTGAATACATAACTAAAGACCAAGATAGGAACCCGATAATATCCTTTACATTAAATGTCTGGTATGATACAGTAAGGGAGTTCAGGATTGGTGAAGAGCTTGGTTTGCTAAAATGGATAGCCTTCGATGAAGAATTTAGACCAGGAAAATTGGATCTTGGTTTTAAAAATTGGAATGAAAAGGGAATCACAGCAATTTGTTTATTAATCAAAAAAGGAGAAATTAAAAGTTCTGAAGAATTAAAACGGGAATACAACTTAAAAAACAAGGATTTTTTCAGATACTTACAGGTGAGAGATTACTT